TTTGACTTTTATAAACCCAAAACCAACTTTTTTTCCTGTGTCCCAAACAACCCCTTACAACTAGTCATGGAAAAAACATTTTTTTGTTTTATCAAGAAAAGTTTTGCATAAAAAAAATTTCGCTAAACCTTTTTTTTTTTATTCTGCAAAATGTAATTTCAGCCAATAGAAATAAAAGGAGAGTAAAGTATGGTATGAACTCAATCAAAAAAAAAGTATGGTATGAACATTTTATTTATTTATTTCTATAAATTAAAATATGACTCAAAATAATAAAAAATTAAAATACATACATAAATATTCTAATCTATTGAAAGATTATGAAAAAATATAATTAATTTTAACATAAGTATATTGACTTATCTTTTAATAATCAAAATAAAAAATATTTTAATGTAAAAAAGATAACATTATTATTTTTTTTTAATTCATATTCATATGAATGATAAATTATTAATAAAAAATGAAATGCTATAAAAATTAAAAACTTTACTATATTTTCTATAAGTCTTATTTACCATATAAATAAATAAATATAGACATATATATGTCTAAATGGTAATGTAACAGTAGCTATCCCTGATTTTAACCGTGTGTGCCAGCGCTAGGGGTGTCTTTGCTCTCAAAGCCTCAAAATTCAGTTAACATTGGGGTGTCTTTGCTCTCAAAGCCTCAAAATTCAGTTAACATTGGGGTGTCTTTGCTCTCAAAGCCTCAAAATTCAGTTAACATTGGGGTGTCTTTGCTCTCAAAGCCTCAAAATTCAGTTAACATTGGGGTGTCTTTGCTCTCAAAGCCTCAAAATTCAGTTAACATTGGGGTGTCTTTGCTCTCAAAGCCTCAAAATTCAGTTAACATTGGGGTGTCTTTGCTCTCAAAGCCTCAAAATTCAGTTAACATTGGGGTTACATAGTTATAATGTTAATAAATAGTACGTCATACATGTCTATGAAAACCTTCATTTCAATAAAAAAAATAAAAATTACACAATTATTAAATAATTTGTGTGCATCAATTAATAGAAAAAATGAAATTAATGTTCTGAAATTAAATACAACAACTTATGCTCAACCGAGCTACTGAGCCTAGTTTTTGTACCGAAATAATTTATTCATAAATTATACAACAAATGGGTAAGTATAGATATTTAGTCGAAACCCCTGGTGGCATGGCCGAATTTAGGCATCCTGTTGACCAAGTCCACGCTCCTCCGTACGACGTCGCTTTGTCACCTGAAAACACAAACGTGAGCTAGCCGGCGGGTGTGTGCCGGAAACCTCTCCGATGCCTAAGTCAGAAAACTTGACAAATAGACAAAGCTTTAAGTTGTCAGGAAGGTTGTGTTCAATTACCTCCTCCAAGGTGATGCTTGTGAGCTTTTATAAGTTTCCCGTGGCACAATCCTAGTAGGACTTGTATTTCTCCATGCAGAGTCCTCCTACGTTTCATTCTCCCAAGGATAATGCTTATCCTTTTACACCCTCCCCCACTGCTTAAACCAAGTGGGATGGTTTTCTTTATGGCCGAACTTTCATTTAACCGAAGTAAAATTGGCTATACCGAGCCACAGAGGGCCGAACTATCATTAGCTCGGTCTTCTTCTCTAACTCCTTACTTCGGCTGCCTTGTTCAACCTTGGTGTGCTTAGATCGAACTTCCAAGTAACAAGTTCTGACCGACCTAACCGTTGTAAGTCACGACCGGACTAATTCCGAAACCGACCTCGAAAGAACATACTGTGACCGGACTAACCCTGAGATCGGCCTAACTCCGAGTTGCCACCGAACCGGAGTAGCTTTGCCATTCCTTTAGCCGAAGTAACTTCATCATTTGTGAGCCGAAGTAACTTTGTCTCCCCAAGGTCGGAGTAACATTGCTCTCCTGGGCCGGAGTATCCATTACGGCCTTTTTACCTAGTCCTTCGTGTTTTGGGCCTCAACGCCCAACTCGCAGCTCGGCCCAATTTTCCCAAAAATTACCCTCTCAATTATTATTATTTTTAATTCATATTCATATGAATGATACATTATTAATAAAAAATTAAATGCTATAAAAATTAAAAACTTTACTAATATTTTCTATAAATCTTATTTACCATATAAATAAATAAATATAGGCATATATATGTCTAAATGGTAATGTAACAGTTGCTCGCCCTGGTTTTAACCGTGTGTGCCAGCGCTAGGGGTGTCTTTGCTCTCAAAGCCTCAAAATTCAGTTAACATTGTGTTTAAATAGTAGGAAAGAAATCAGTAATTTTTTTTTGAATTAACAATGTGTTAAAAAACAAAAATTAGTATTGGTTGTTAACAATGCAAAAAAAAAAAATTATGAATTAAAAAAAACACAATGTTAACATTCAGTTAACAATGTTTTACAAAAAAAATTCAGTTAACATTCAATGTTTAACAATGTGTTTAACATTGTGTTATATTGATTTGAATTCAAAACAAATCAGTATAGGTTGTTAATTGAAATTAAGGAAAAAAAATAGTAAAAAAGCCGGTGGGTTCAAACAGTTCAGGGAGGACCGGTGATTCAAACCATTCTGGAATAGAAAGCGGAAGACAAAACCGGAAGAGAGGTGGGAAGATCGGGTGGTTGACCGACCGGGTGTCCCAGGCACTGCCGCTTCAGCTTTGATCGAAGAAAGGTTCAAACAGTTCATAATTGCAAATAACAACCGATCTGAAATGGAAAATACGACTCTACAAATTCTGATAAACCATTTACGAACTGATTTCAACTTCTCCGAAATCATTTATACATAACAGATGAATGATTTACTGACTATTCTTGAAGAACAAAAAGTTGAAACAGTTCAGGAGAAAGGATCGACTCGTCTGAAATCATTTTCAGATAACAGATTTTCAGATGAAGGATGAAGGATTTATTTACCAGATTAGTAGGAGTTGAATAATTATCGCCGGTGATGAAATGTGTATACTGATTGAACGTGCTACTGTTTGCTCGTCGGATTCGACAATAAATTTGATAAATTTGACCTGAAAAAAAAAATAAATTAGGATGAATTTCTCAAATAATTTCCCTATAACAAAATATGTAAATAATTTTGTGAGTAATTTCACCGCGCAGTCGTCGTTGTTTGGTTGCCGTAATAAGAATCGTTCGCAACGCACAAATCGTAACTCAGTTGATTTGTGAAATATGATACCAGTACAGAGCGAGTTGGGTGGATTCATTATTTATAAAATGAGTCTGACTTCTGAAATTCTGAAAACCACCCGTAATGAATCTGAAGTACGGATGTTTGATGCAGAGAAGCCACTCGCGATGAATCTGAAGGACGGGTGTAGATGGGGTTCACGTGAAAGTTTGGGGAGACGACGATGAAAGCAGAAACGTTGAAAGGGAGATACTTGCGACCAAATAGATTTTCAAAATGTAATCTGAATTAACACGCGAAATTAATTTTTGAACATCGTTTCCAAACGTTATGCGCAAACTCACGTATTGAAAATTGATTTTAGTTCATAACCAAACAGAGCCTAACTTTTTAGCCGTCTAAAGCAAGCCCATTGAATAGAATTTGCCTTTGGACTTAAGATTTTCGGACTTAACCCGATTCCGAACTTTAGTTCCAAGCATTCAAGTAGTGTTGAATTTAAAATTGCACACACTTTGTTTTTTTTTTTTGAAAATTCGACTAGTTTAAAATATTTTGTTAAATTTTGATTTATTTGTCTTCCAATTTGATTTTAAATTAATTTTAAGTAATTCGCGTTTTAATAACTATTGAATCTAAGACCGAGTCAAACTCACAAATATTTACTAATTCAAAAAATGTGTTTAATCTTCGATACATGCCCAATTTATATAGCATTCGTTTGGAAAGTGAGTTAGTGTTTTGACTTTTTTATCTTAGGTTAAAAAGTATCATTTGGAATTAAGGATGTAATTGGTTCGGTACAATCAGTATTTAAGTAAAAAATTACACAAAACCGATAATGTCGATTTTATTATTTTGAACACCGATACAGACCGCTTCTCTTATCAAACCACATCGAACCGAATCGATTGAAACGGTCCGATTTTGTGCGGTTTAATTGGTTTAGAAATTTTCAAACCTAAACAGCTTTTAAATATAATCATTAATCTATATAAAAATATTAAATTAGTTATTTGTCTATCTTGTCAAATATATCCAATCCATCAATTTAATACATACCTTTAAATTCCTAAATTAAAAAAAAAAGGTTTAAAAATATTAAGGTTTCAATAATAATAAGTTAAAGTTAAGATTATATATAATAAGAGTTTACAAACTTAGGTTATAAACATGATAAACTTAATTAATTAAGGTTAATAATTTATTATACCTATTAATATCATTATTAGATTATATATATTATAAATATAATATATGTTGAAACGGTCGGTTTTAGTTTAGATTGGTACACAAGATACTTGAATTGAAAATAAAAAAAAATAAAAAATTAAAAGCCACACAGTCCGATTTTTGTTAAAAAACAGGCTATATAGTTGGTTTGGTCCGGTTCAATCTGTTTGGTCGATTTTTTGGATTTTTCTTACATCCCTATTTGGGATGAGTTGTTTTGATAATTTTTTAATATATTTTACTTTTTTGTCACTATTTTAACCCTAACCCATTATGCCATACATTGGGTTGTTTGGGAAGTAAGATTTTCGTCTCATTTGGATTAAAATTTACAAAAAGGTAAAATAAATTAAAATAGCTAATAAGAGAAAATGTCACATCAAATTTATAATCATTTCACTTTTTTTTTGTCACAAACATCACATTTAATTATAAAAAAATATAACCATCTTCACAAATACAAAAATTTTAACCTACTAAAATAATCATAAACTAAAATAACTTACTAAAATAATAACTTTCCAAACACCCACCTAATAAGTTGGTTGGGTTACGATGCACCCTAGAAGCATGGCGCTCCGCCCCTCCAGCCACCGGTCCACACGGTTAGCGGGAAAATACCAAATCCCACACAACTGGCGGGAAATTTATCATTTCAACCAAAAAAAATCCCCAAATTTCACATTACCCAATCCAAAAAAGGGTACAAATACCCTCCATTTCACGTATTCTCACGAGTATTGGCTTTCTAGGTCGGTACTTCTCTCTCTCTCTCTCTCTCTCTCGCTTCTACGAAACCCTTGAGCTTCGAATCCATGGCAAGACCTTCGAAATCGAAGGACTCATCGGAAGATGATCTATCCAACGGCTCTAATTCGTCGGAGGAAGAGCAAATCAACGATCAGATCAACGAGGACGAAGATGAGGAGGAGCTCGAGGTCGTTGCCAGGACCGCCGACGAAGACTCGGACTCCGACAACAACGACGCCGGCGAAGGTAAGTCGCCGGACACGGAAAACGAGGCTGACGCCGGCGACGACGGAGAGGAGGAGGAAAGCGAAGAGGTGAGTTTAGATCTGAGTTATTTGGGTTAGTTGTGTGTTGAGTTTGATAGGGTTTTTGATGTGTTAGGGTTTGATAGTTTAGGGGTTTTGGAGTTTTCGTTGAATTTCCACTATTTGGGCGTGCTTTGATTAACATTGTCGTTGATATATATGTGTGTGTGTGTGTGTGTATTTGTTTACTGGAATGAGTGATGAATTTGTGAGAAAGAACAAACACAGAAGTTGAAATTACAAGTTTGTTCAATCAAGAACTAACAGTTCAAACAATCAAGAGAGAAAACAAACACCAAAACAATTTCACATTCCTTTACCGATCATCCATCTACTATTACAAGTTTCCCTTCAAAATCAATACTTGGCTAATCACTGCCAACTATCTCTGACAACCATCTAACCACTAACCATCTACTTAACAACCACTAATTAATTACTACTAATTAATCTTTCTTTTTAACCATTGAGTAAAAAAGCCACGCTAGAACAGCATAGTGGACTAAGGGCTGTTTTGGGAATTGACTTTTTTTTTAGTGTCTTTTTAGTTTTTTATGAAAAAAAAGCACAAAAGAAGTAGAATTTTATTTTTTTTTGGTAATGGCTGAGAAGATAGCTACTATACGAGCTCCGCATTCCTTTCCTCCTACTACTTGAATTTTAAGGATTTTATTTATTTTTTATTTTTTTGGTTGTTGTTGTTTTGGGGTTAGACTGCCCTTAGTTGATGAGAACATGCAACATGACTTGCCTAAAATTTCTGTTTTTTTTTTTTGGAAATGATTTTTTTTTTTTGTGTGAACTGGTGAATGTCAGTAGTTGTTAGTTGTTAAATTAGTAACTATGAGTGTTAGCCTCCCTACTCTTGCAAAGCACTAAGTGCTTGCCGCCTAAACATGTCTATTGTGAGGTTGAACTTATGGCACTTCAATTCCAGCAGTTTTTTCATTTTTATTATCAATTGATGAGTTGTTTGTGATTAGATAGTAGCCATAGACTAAAATATTTCAAACCAGAGTTTCTCTAGAGTTTCCATCATAAATATTATGGTGATAGTTTTCTTTCATAATTATGTAATTAATTGAATCAACTTCCTCAGCTCATCATTGCTATCATTTTATAATTTCTTACCATCAGGATGAGAAGGTTGTGACTAATATTAACATTGGAAAGCGTGAAAAAGCCAGATTAAGAGAAATGCAGAAGTTAAAGAAGCAGAAGATTCAAGAAATTCTGGACAAACAAAATGCTGCCATTGATGCTGATATGGTGTGCTACTTGGGCGAATTTCTATTTCTCCGGTTTATATATCAATTTAAGTTTTTCTGAAAGTGATAACTGAAACAATAATCTCTCTTTAATGGCAGAACAACAAGGGAAAGGGTCGCCTGAAGTATCTCCTGCAGCAGACAGAGATATTTGCTCATTTTGCCAAGGGTGATCAGTCTGCAGCACAGAAAAAGGCAAAGGGAAGGTATAATAGATGCTCTTTTGTGCAATTAAGCTTTTTGAACACCCTAGTGGATATACAACTTTGCTTAAATGATTACTACAGTTGTGCAATTAATGTGAGTGTAACAAGGGTGGATTTTTTTATTGTAGTGTAACAATATTGATCAGTGAAGTGTTCTCGGTTGCCCAACATTTTTGAATTTTTTTTTTTCTCTTCCATTTAAATTATAGCATTTGCTCCTAGATTGAATTATGATTGATAGGGAAAAAATTGGTTGGACTTTGGTGCTGGATGTTTTTTCTTGTGTGTGTGTGGTTTGGAATATTTTGTAGTTGTGTTTGTCAATTAAAGTATTGGATGGACTATTGGCCAATTTCCAGTCATAGGTTATCACATTATGCATTTCAATATTTGACAAAGGTTAATAACAGTTTTCATCTTGCTAATTGTGTAATTTAGGGGTCGTCATGCATCAAAGATTACTGAAGAGGAAGAAGATGAAGAATGCCTCAAGGAGGAGGAAGATGGTCTCTCTGGGACTGGAAATACACGGCTGGTGGCTCAACCCTCTTGTATAACTCTCTCTCTTTGCGCTCACACGCTTGCATTTTCCTGCTTGTGTGGCTTTGATCTTTGTGATCAGTAGGGATCTAATGCGGATAAATAAAGCTGTGTTTTGGAAAATTTGAGCATCTTGTTTGGCATGTGCAATGATTTTTGTTCTATTCCTTTTGCTTTTAAGATTCTTCCCCATTGTCTGGTTTGAATTTTTTAAAATATGTATGTTATATTTTTCTTGTCTCTGTAATATTTTTGTATTACATATATCTACTTATGTAGATTTGTATATTAATTTTAATTTAAGGGTCAAAACTTCATATTGGGGAAACTATTTTTTAATTTTTTTTTGGAGTTGGATTTCAGCTTATTATACCATGTTGTTCTATTGTGGTGGTGTCCCAAAGCTGAAAATAGCCAAAGGGCACTATTTGACTTATTATCTACTGTCAAATTAATACTTTTATAATATTTGTCTAGCTCACTAGTGAAGATCTGTCCTGAATTGAAATGCTTTTTGTTTATGCTGAGGCTTTTGTTAAAAAAGATTTGCAGTTTATCTTTTCTCTAGTTTGGGGTGGTTTAATATCAACGTGCTATTTAGTTTGAGGTGCCATTTAATGTAAAAGTGACAATTTTGTTGTTTGCTTTTTATTTCTCCAGGTATTGAAGGAAAGATGAGGGATTACCAACTTGCTGGATTAAACTGGCTCATACGGCTGTATGAGAATGGCATAAATGGAATCCTTGCAGATGAAATGGTATATCTTGTAGCTTTTGACTAGGGAATAGCATCTATTTGCATTATAGTATACTCCTCTTTGAGATTCTCTCTCCCCTGAGTATTGAATATCATTACTTCTGATTTGTATTATATAATCATTCTATCGGATAATTTGTCATGGAACAGTTCATTTTTTGACAATTGTGATATTAACAATGATTTGTTGTTGTGACTATGTAGGGTCTTGGTAAAACGTTGCAAACAATCTCATTGTTGGGCTATCTGCATGAATTCAGAGGAATAACTGGACCTCACATGGTTGTTGCTCCAAAGTCTACGCTTGGCAACTGGATGAATGAAATCAAACGCTTTTGTCCAATTATTCGTGCCATAAAATTTCTTGGAAATCCTGATGAAAGAGTGAGTCACTCATGATTGCTTATTCAATTATTAAAAATAATATTTTCCCGTATTTATAGTTGTCAGTTATGAATGCTGAATAACTCTGTTAATGTTATATTTTTGCAGAAGCATATACGGGAAAATTTACTGGTTGCTGGGAAGTTTGATGTATGTGTCACCAGTTTTGAAATGGCAATTAGAGAGAAATCTGCCCTGCGCCAATTTAGTTGGCGCTATATTGTCATTGACGAAGCTCATCGAATCAAGAATGAGAATTCACTTCTTTCAAAGACAATGAGACTTTACAAGACTAATTACCGCCTCCTTATCACGGGTACTCCACTGCAGGTATATATCACTTGCTTTTCTTCATTGATGTGGGAACTTACCTGTGCATTTAGCATCCATGATGATGGCTGTAGGAGTGTAGCTTTTTAGAGACCGTCATTTTTAAAATATATTTTCTTGACATCATCAAGAATTGGTATAATGGATGATGGCTGTAAGAGGGTAGCTTTTTAGAGACTCATTTTTTAAATATATTTTCTTGACATCATCAAGAATTGGTATAATTTTTTTTTTTTGGGTGGTGGGGGGGTTTTAGAGACTCATTTTTTAAATATATTTTCTTGACATGGTTTTTGAAGGGGAAAAACCCAAGAAATAGAGGGAATACACAGGCTTTAGAAAACCCCAGGCTTTGCAATCTGGTATAATAAAGCCTTGAATTAGTCAACTTGACTGGGATCATATGAAGCACTGGCACTTCAAAACAAGTGTTGTATTTGTGTTGGACACATGGACACTTTGCGGACACGGCGGGGTGGTGTGCCTTCTTATTTAATTAATTTATTTTTAGAGGACATGTCGAGAACACTTCGGGGACAAATTAGGGACATGCTAAGTTGTCTTGTCCCTTATTTTTCTTAGTATTTTTGATGAATGTTGAATGTTTATTATTAATTTTTTGAGATTTAAATATTTAATAGATCATTTATAAAAAAAAGGGATATAAATTGTAAGTGTTAATTTATTAATTTTTTTTTTAAAAAAAAGAAAGGAATTAGAGTTATTTTTGTCAATATTAATTGTTTGTTGATGTAATATTAATCTAGATAGTAAATAAAATTATATGAAAATATATTTTGTTGTTGTGTCCCCACCTTGTTTGTGTTTTCATTTTTTTGAAATCTCTGTGTCCGCATTTGCATCCGTATACATGTCTGTGCGTAGTTGCTTCTTGGATGCCTGCAGTATTTTCATTCCTACTAACTTGAGAATAATTCCCCCCTTTCCCGTATCAGTTTAGTATCAATGTTTTGTTGAAGGCATTGGTGGAACTTTATCAATGTTGCAATTAAAATTCTAGTTTCATTTCTATTGATGAAAATACCATTTGTTCCGGAGAAAGAATTTACATGAAACATCAATTTGTTGGTTGAACCTCTGACTATGTGTGTGGAGTCCATTTTATTGGGAAATAATGACTTGCATTGGAAAACAACTCAATTTCCTTCATATTTTCATATTTGTTATATTATTATTATTATTATTATTATTATTTTTTTTTTTTATGGGTTTAGTTTGGGAGGTTGTTGGTTGATTTGTTGCGTCTTCTTGGGAGGGTCATCAGTTTTTTTGTATTCTGAATTTTATTATTGTTTCCGTTCTCTTATAGGAGTTATTTTATGTTCTCCTACAGTGTGTTGTTTTATACTTTCATTGTAGGCTTGATATTGTTTCTCTCTTCCAACATGCAGAACAATCTTCATGAACTGTGGTCTCTTTTGAACTTTCTTCTGCCAGAGATATTTAGCTCAGCTGAAACTTTTGATGAATGGTTTCAAATTTCTGGTGAAAATGACCAGCAGGAGGTTGTTCAGCAACTTCATAAGGTAAGTTGACAAGCCCTTAATATTTTGAGTATATTCTAACCAAACCAACTATGTTTTGTGTCCAACTAGGTGGGGTTGGTTACATGATTTTTTTTTTCCTTCCACCATTCTGATCTGTCAAAGCTTATATGATGATATTTTCTTTCTTTATGCATCTTTAAGGTCCTTCGGCCATTCCTTCTCCGAAGGTTGAAGTCAGACGTCGAGAAAGGTTTGCCTCCCAAGAAGGAAACAATACTTAAAGTTGGTATGTCCCAAATGCAGAAGCAGTACTATAGGGCATTATTGCAGAAAGATCTTGAGGTTGTAAATGCTGGTGGCGAGCGCAAGCGACTTCTGAACATAGCAATGCAGCTGCGTAAATGTTGTAATCACCCATATCTGTTCCAAGGTGCTGAACCTGGCCCTCCTTATACTACAGGAGATCATCTTATTACAAATGCTGGTAAGCTTCTCAGCCTATGAAGATTTTAATGTATTTGTCTTTTTAAAAAAAAATGGTGTTTATTGATGATTATTCATGCCTTTTTTAACTATTTGATTTGCAGGTAAAATGGTTCTTTTGGATAAGTTGCTCCCAAAACTTAAAGAACGTGATTCAAGGGTCCTAATATTTTCACAGGTTCCTTTTCTACCTCTTTTGTTTCAAGATCACTATCAATGCATTTCATACTGGTTATCATTGGTTAGGATCATTTTTATGCCATATCTATGCATGCTGCTTGTGTTGTATAATATCAGTCCGAGCACACCTTTGTACTGTAGGTACACCTTGTACTCTGATGAATATACCCCATCACACCTTTGTACTGTAGGTACACCTTGTATGTAGGTACACCTTGTACTCTGATGAATATACCCCATCACACCTTTGTACTGTAGGTACACCTTGTACCCTGATGATGATACCCAATCACTGGAATCACTGGAATCCCTTAGACTTGAGTTTTAGTGATTCTTATGAGATTAGAGTTGAAGTTCCATGGAATCCCTTAGACTTTAGTGTAGTAAGGCTTTTGGTCACTCTACCAAGTCTTGTCCTTTTAATGTTAAGCAAACTAAAGAGGAGAAAGGGGAAATAAATTCTAGTGAAACGGGAATCAGTGAAGACGAAAAAAGGAAATATGCTTCTCCAAAATAGAAGGTCGATGTGTTCTTATCTAATTATTTTTACTTGTTAGCATTGTGTGCTCCAAAAAAGAGGTGGAGAAAACGAATGAGAAGGTAAAGAGAAGGAAATTAAGGATGAAACCAAAAGAAATTGTATTGCACTCTTTCAAGAGATAAGGACTAAGCTTGACAAGAAGATTTTAAATCTACAGTTTGGTTGGGAAAATTGTCTTACTGTCCCTAAGAAACTTCTGTGAAAATGCTAGGAGGAGATGTGGGGTCAGGGTTTTCTCACTTTCGTTGTGAGAGGTGCTTGTGCCTATCCTCTTTGGTTGAGAGGTTTGTTGCTAGGTGGTTTGGGTTTGGTGTCTCATGTTAAAGAGTGTCTTTTGTGCCTATCTCCTCCCTGGTTGAGTGTTAGAAACATGAGAGAACAAATGTGTATTATTCCATTAAACCGAATTGTCCTATCATGATAAAGATGATGATACTGTTGTATGACCCAGATGACAAGGCTGTTGGACATTTTGGAAGACTATTTATTGTTTCGTGGGTACCTGTATTGTCGGATTGATGGCAATACTGGCGGAGAAGATCGTGATGCTTCAATTGAAGCCTTTAATAAGCCAGGGAGTGAGAAATTTGTCTTCTTACTGTCAACCAGAGCTGGAGGCCTTGGCATCAATCTTGCTACTGCAGATGTTGTCATTCTTTATGACAGTGACTGGTAATTTTTTTTTTTAAATTTATTTTTGATCTGGTCAGGCTCGGAATTGCAAATATCATCTGATAATCTGATGCACTCTTCTTTATTACATTTTAGGAACCCACAAGTTGATTTGCAGGCTCAGGATCGTGCTCACAGGATTGGGCAAACAAAAGAAGTTCAAGTATTCCGTTTTTGTACTGAGGTTTGCTTTGTTTATGTATTAGTGTATAACACATCATGTCATAAGCTATTTAAAATGTCTATTAATATCATTGTTCTTCTCAATTTGGTTATGAACAGTATACAATTGAGGAAAAAGTGATTGAGAGGGCTTATAAAAAGCTTGCACTCGATGCTCTGGTGATCCAACAAGGGCGATTAGCAGAGCAAAAGAGTAAGTGGTTTATACTTTTGTAATTATGATTTAATATTCAAATTAGTGCAAGTGCAGTACTTTGATAATTCATGGCATTTTTTTCATTTTAATATTATTATTATTTTTGGCAGCTGTTAACAAAGATGACCTGCTGCAAATGGTGAGGTTTGGTGCTGAAATGGTTTTCAGTTCCAAGGATAGCACAATTACTGATGAGGATATAGATCGGATCATTGCTAAAGGAGAAGAGGCAACAGCTGAGCTTGATGCTAAGATGAAGAAATTTACAGAAGATGCAATCAAATTCAAAATGGATGACAGTATGTGGATTTATTATCGAAAGTTATTTTTAAAAACATTTTTTACTCTATGCTTTTTACAACTAAGTCAAATTGCAACTTATGGGTTTGTGCAGCTGCTGATCTCTATGATTTTGATGATGAAAAGGTACAAACCATTCTTGCATGTGTTCCATGATTACTCTGGACTGTTTTATCATCTTTTGCTTAATTTTTTTGAACTGCTATTTCATTTACATTTTTGATTTTGATGAAGGATGAGAACAAGTTAGACTTCAAGAAAATTGTCAGTGACAATTGGATTGAACCACCGAAAAGAGAGAGGAAGCGAAAGTAATAGTGATTTTTCATTTCCCTTTCAGTGTCTTTTGCACCTCTTGTCTTTTCTTGAAACATTATTTCTTGTCTTTTTTTAGTTACTCAGAATCTGAATACTTCAAGCAAACAATGCGCCAAAGTGGTCCAGCAAGACCAAAAGAGCCTCGAATTCCCCGCATGCCCCAGTTGTAAGTATCACTTGAAATTGATTCTTTCTTAGACTAGAGTTCAGGTCGAAAATTGTTTTACATGTTTTGCCTTTTTATTTTTATTTTTATTTTGTTCAGGCATGATTTCCAGTTTTTTAACACACAAAGGCTAAGTGAGCTGTATGAAAAAGAAGTACGCTATCTCATGGTGGGTAATTCCTTGGATATTCATGTTTCTTTGTTTCTTATTTTTTTCCTCACTTTGTTGTAATAGGATTTAAATCATGCAGTCTTTTGTTTTGCTTAATTTATTTTCACAATTGTCAGCAAACACATCAAAAGAATCAGTTAAAGGACACCATAGAAGTGGATGAACCGGAAGGTATGTTCACTACTCTTGGTGACGGTGTCATTTCTAAGTAACATTTTCTCTAGTCAACCTACTGATAATTGAGTGTTGATCATCTAGAGTTGGGAGACCCCTTAACTGCTGAAGAGCAGGAGGAAAAGGAACTGCTATTAGAGGAGGTGAGTGGGTAATAAACATAGATTGGGTTTTCTGTTATCTATCGCTTCATCTAAAATTCACTTTTTTTTGTTGATTTTAGGGATTTTCTACGTGGAGTAGAAGAGATTTTAATACTTTCATTAGGGCTTGTGAGAAGTATGGTCGGAATGATGTGACAAGTATAGCTTTTGAAATGGAAGGGAAAACAGACGAGGAAGTTGAAAGATATGCAAAAGTTTTTAAAGAAAGATACAAAGAGTTGAATGGTGAGTGAGAATTAATGCCGTAACTTATTGTAAATATTGATGAATTTTGGGTATTTGACAATAATGCTTGGAAACAAATTTTCTCACAATTTAGCTTTGTTGGTGCCCTCTCTAATAATATGAATGAATTTTTAATTGGAAAATGTACCCCATATTTCTTCTCATCGCATGGGTGGTTTGATGGTCAGAACAAAAAATAAATTTTAGTTGTTTGTTAATGTTTTAATGCGTAGAACCATTCTTGTATTTGATTTGTTTACAAGTATCTCAAAGTGGCTTAGAATGTACTTGTTTAGAACTTTAAATTTAAAATTCTTGCTTCTTTTAAATTATAATTGCAAATATGTTGTATCCAGATTATGATAGGATCATCAAGAACATTGAAAGAGGGGAGGCTAGAATTTCTCGGAAGGATGAGATCATGAAAGCAATCGGGAAGAAATTGGATAGATACAAGAACCCATGGCTCGAATTGAAAATCCAGTATGGTCAGAACAAAGGGAAGCTGTACAATGAAGAATGTGATCGTTTCATGGTGAGATTTTTAAGCAATTAAATTCTTTTGGCACATACTGCTGGTTTATTATATTTGTTTTATGGTTATAATAATAGTTGCCCACTACACTTTGTATAGATCTGCATGGTTCACAAGCTTGGTTATGGAAATTGGGATGAGCTGAAGGCTGCTTTCCGCACATCACCTTTGTTCCGTTTTGATTGGTTTGTGAAGTCCCGAACAACTCAAGAACTTGCAAGGAGATGTGATACTCTTATTCGGTTGGTGGAGAGGGAAAACCAGGAGGTTGACGAAAGAGAGAGACAAGCCCGTAAAGAGAAGAAACTTGCAAAGGTTGAATTAATTCTTCACTTCACCATCCCTACTTTACTAGATTGCATAACTCATTTGTAATTAAGCAATTGTTCTTTGCAAGCTTGAATCTTATAAAGATGAACTTTTTTGTTATGGCCCACCAGAACATGACTCCATCAAAGCGTGCCTTGGCAAGGCAAGCAGCGGAGAGCCCTCCTCCAACTGTAAAGAAGCGGAAGCAATTGTTGATGGATGACTATGTGAGCTCGGTATATATTTGCCCCCTCCTGGAAACTATATGTTGATTATCATTTCTAAGTTCGTTTGCTAGCTGGTATAAGGTAAAAAGCTGATTATGCTATTTTTGCAGGGTAAGAGGAGGAAATGAACTATGAAAATACAAAGCTAGCATCTGGTGTTTAGTTTGCACCAGAACTATTATGGCATGGTGTTGCTGTTGTTTTGATTTCATGATTACACTGCTCACCTTATCTTATTTTTGTAATTTTTAATCTAGGCTTGGCAGAAGCCATTGACTCATCTGCAGAAGAGGGTAATATATAATTTAGATTATAGGTTAGGGTTGGGAAGTTGTATAAATGAGTAAATACTGGATAATTTAGAAACCACCTCACTTATGACAGTTGACTGCATGAAATATTGTACTTGACTGTGTTATGTAGTTTACCAAATCATCGAGAAACTCTGGTAGTTTTGATTTTGATTTTGCTTTGATCTTGCAACAGTGGTAGCTTCTTAGTTGTTCCCTGATCTGGGCTTTCTTGAATTATTAGCTCAAGTTACTTCTCTGCCTTTGTTCCTTTTGAGAGAATTGTAAGTTGGGATATGCGTATACTTGTTCAGAGTCCACTTGAGGTTTGAATGTGATTTTGATTTTGCTTTGATCTTGCAACAGTGGTAGCTTCTTAGTTGTTCCCTGATCTGGGCTTTCTTGAATTATTAGCTCAAGTTACTTCTCTGCCTTTGTTCCTTTTGAGAGAATTGTAAGTTGGGATATGCGTATACTTGTTCAGAGTCCACTTGACTTGAGGTTTGAATGTGGCAAATTATTCACTTCTAAGAACAAATTAGTGAATTGCCATGGAAGCAGTGATGGATAGTTTTTGTACATGTGTGTATATATATATATATATACATATGAGATTGAGAGAGGAGAGGCTATCACCTTTCTTCAATTTTAATTTATTGGGCAGCAACACATTTGTAAGATGAGAATAGGAACCTCTTGTGCTTTTGAAATGATGCATCAGTTCAAAATAACAAAGTGCACTTGGTCTGTATTTTATTTAAGAAAAAAATTACAATTTAAATTATATGCGTTCTGCTTATTGTCAAAATGGTGGTAGCTAGTTGAGAGTCCAATCAAGTATTCTAATAAACTTAGTAGTATAACTAATTCAATTTTCATAAAAATTAACGACTATGCTAGTCCTGGTAATTCGGAAATAAATACAACATTGTTATACTTGGACAACACAAGTCATTATTGAAGTAGTTTAAAAAATATAAATTAATTATAGACAATAAGGGGCCACAATGAGCCTGTTTAGTGTAATTGTTAAAACAAATTATAGAATATAATTTAATAGATTATAGATTATGATTTCAATTTATAATTTAATAGATTATAGATTATAATTTTAAGTAGAAGTTGTTAATTTATTTGGTATAGTTGTTGAGTTATAGATTTAAATTGTTTAGTAATGTTTGTTAAATAAGTTGTGAAGTAATTTTTTTAATTAATTTTTATTTTTTGTTATTCACTACTTGTTTACATTTATCATAAAAAATAATAATAATATTCTGTAGTCTCTTTCTATTTTTAAAATAAATAAATAAATAAAAAATTTAAGAGTATAATCATAAATTAATATGTTTACAGGATAAATTGATAGTCTATAGTTGTTGAGTTATAGATTTAAATTGTTTAGTAATGTTTGTTAAATAAGTTGTGAAGTAATTTTTTTAATTAATTTTTATTTTTTGTTATTCACTACTGGTTTACATTTATCATAAAAAATAATAATAATATTCTGTAGTCTCTTTCTATTTTTAAAATAAATAAATAAATAAAAAATTTAAGAGTATAATCATAAATTAATATGTTTACAGGATAAGTTGATAGTTAGAAGGAAGAGGTGAGTTTTTTTTGACTTAAAATACGTTGTTAGAATAAAAAATTATTTAAAATAAATTTAACCAAACAATTTAAAATAATTTTTCAAAAGTCAAAAACTATAAATTGGTTCAAAGAAATCCAAACAAACGCCTCTAATATAGACTACTAAAATGTAGGGAAGAAGCATGAAACCCAATTCAAAATAGGTATGCAAATCAATGACATGACGCAGATCATATAATAAATCAATTATGAACCATAATCAATGTTGTGTCTTACAAAATTCGAAGGTTATAAAACTCCGGAGACAATCGAAAACATTAAACATTGTTGAAACTTCGATAAAATTAAATCTATTTACAAGCCCTCACAAGAAAATCAAGCCTACACAGATGCAAGCATGCACAGAAACAGAGGTTGTTTGATGGACAATGACGCAACAACGATCAACCCCCTTAGTATAAGCCGAAAACACAAACAACTCAAATCCATAGTAGCACATCATCATAACAATCGAACAATGAGACTCACACCACACCCACTAAATTTTCCCCACACAGCTACACATACAATACATGGGCTTACAAAATGAAACATCTTCCAAGCTTCTCTCCTGTATCATAAACTTCACAAAGAAAAGAAAACGAAAAAGAAAAAGAAAAAGAAAAAAAACCCTAAATACATAAATTAACATTTTGCATACCAGATTATGCAGTGGGGTTTACCTGAAAATGCCCAAAACTACAACACTGACCCCATGAGGTTCCTCTCCTTCAAGCATTCGGTTTCATATCAACCCCTACAAGCAGCAGTAAAGGATGACATTTTTGCGTATTCTCTTCTCTTCTTTCTTCATGATGGCCACCAGAAAGGCCGAAGTGACATGACTAGGGTTTTTGTTGCAATTTACTCATTTGTACCGTCAAAGCTACCCTTCCCATTTGCCCGCTTTTTCTCTCTCCAATTCTCACCCCACACTTTTGCCTCCGCAACCGCACGTTCTCTGTCGAGATCTCGGTTCCTTGGAGTCTCTCTTGCTCTTCCTGCACTAGCTGGGCTGTCTCTCTGAGATTCCTGACGTTCTAGTTCATCCACGCACCATTTCCTCCCAGACCCACCACTGGTTTCGTTCCTTCCTAGCTCTGCTCCAGTATTCAATTCCCTTACAGAGTCTCTCTTTCTGAAATCAGGAGAATTCTTATGGTTGGAAGGTGAGCCGTGGTGTCCGCCACGTCGAGGCCCATCTGGACTATCCAGTCCATCTGCCATGTTCCTTCTGTCATCCTTGTTCCTAGGAGTAGTGGGTAAATTTGGATCGTAAGTTTGGGAAGCTAAATAAGTCAAAGCGGTCACAACATCCCCTATTAGAGGCCTCGTAGCAGCTTGTTCTTGCAAACACATGGCTGCAACGGCAAGTGCTTGGTAGAGTCCTCGAATTGGGTAACGACCTTGTAATAGTGGATCGGCCATTTTGGGGAACTTCCTGCGATCCTTGAAAAGTGGCCGTGCCTACAAATCCGTGTCCCATGAAATGAAAAGCAGAAATGGAAAAGGAAAAAAAAAACTACTTTATGTTAATTCACTAGAACAGCATAACCTCGACAACCATGTCCCACAAAAATGAAAAGCAAATATTTAAAAGAAAAAAAATCGCTACGTTTGGCTGTGTTTTCATTTTGGTTTTCTTTTATGGGAAATAAAAAACCCACTTGGCAAATTATTTCTGAAAATTGTTCTTCGGAAATTTTTTCTAAAAACAACCCTTTCTTGTTTCCAAAAACACAATGAAAGCGAAAATAAAAATGAAACATTTTTTTCCAGAATAAAAAAACAAAAAATAAAAGCAAAAACACAAGGAAACAGATTCACTACTTCTATGATAATTCAGTGGAACATCATAACATTGACAACATTTCATCTCTTGGTTTGTGTTAATTGCTAAAGAAGTCAACTAAACCCTAAATAATAATACTATAGAAATATAAAGAGAACAACTTACCCATGCAACGAGATTATGCTCTCCTGGAGCCCGAGTGTTGTCAATAGCCTTGCGTCCTGTAATAATCTCCAGAAACACGACTCCAAAACTGTAGACATCAGACTTGAGTGTGAGTTGGCCGGTCATAGCATATTCAGGAGCACAGTAACCATACGTCCCCATAACCCGGGTGGAGACGTGTGTCTTATCACCAACTGGACCTAGTTTTGCGAGTCCAAAATCAGATAGCTTGGGATGATAGCCCTCATCTAGAAGGATGTTCGATGATTTTAAGTCTCTGTATATGACAGGAGGGTTTGCCTTGTCATGCAAATACTCGAGCCCTTTCGCTGCACCTGCTGCAATCTTCATCCTTGTATTCCAGTCCAGCGGCTCTTTGCCAGGTGGAAGATCTGAAAACAAGTATCAAATGAAGTAATTGAGTAGGTTTACAGAAAGCACACTCATTAGAAGAAAATTCGGACTCTTCTATTCTCCCAATATACACGTCCACTAAACATGACAAGGGTAAAAGTAAGGGATTTGTGTCCAACACTTGTACCCAAATTAAACGGTTGGATCCTTTAATTTTAAAAATTGTTTGAAGTTCACATTTGGTATGAGAGATAGAAATCCCATTTTTTTCCTAAATCTCAAATAATTTAAGTTATATTCTTACTAATTTACAAGTTCTTATGTAAGAATATCACACACTATGTAATATATTTAAATCAAGAATTTCTTTCTCTGCCAGTTCTACAATATCAGGGCAGTTAGGACAGCCAAAACGTGAGTTCATAATGGGTCGATTATAAGTGGATATTGAATATGAATGTATAACCTTTAAAATGAGGACCAATTATTAAGGAATAGGAATGCAAATGCAACAATCATATGAAATGCGTTATGGAAATTCCTTATATTCCAGTATACTCCTATCAACATGCCAAATTTGAGAATTTAGTATTTACTATGCCTTTACCACTAGAACCTAAGATGCATAGACACAGAGAGGCTGAAAACAAATTTCAAAAAATGCAAGACGCGGTGCGTGAAGGATACACATAAAATATATAGTTTATATATACATATATATATATTATGAGTATTTCTTTCAAAGATAATTATAAAACGCAACATAAGTTACATAACACTAACTCCTAAAGTTAAAAAAGATGGAGGATTAAAAGGTATAAATCTATATAATTTATCACAAAAAAAAAGGGTATAAATCTATATTATTTTTCTTTTATCATTGTATCCTAAGTTATTTTGTTTACATTTATAGTATTCTAATTTAAAAAAATTAAAAAACGTGTGTGACAAGTGTCAGGAAGTGTCTGACAAGTGTTAGTATCCGACACGTGGCTGACTTAAACATGTCACCTTCTTAGAAGGGTTTATACTTCTCAGACTATAAGTTCACCACAAAGTTTCCTCCTCAACCACTATCACACGATCAACTGTTGCTACTATACAACACAATGGATTCTACAAACACCAACACCAAATTCAACTATTAGGACAATAACAGGTTTCAACTACTAACCCCAATATTACACAAGTAACTAGGAGACTACTGTAAGACCACCAAAAATACTATACAACACAGTGGATTCTACAAACACCAACACCAACACCAACACCAACACCAAATTCAACTATTAGGACAATAATAGGTTTCAACTACTAACCCCAATATTACACAAGTAACTACGAGACTACTGTAAGACCACCAAAAACTACATCATCTACTACTACTATGGTAACAAATTAGACTAATGTTGTGGCTACTACTTTGTCTAATTCAACTGAAAGAGCAAGAGTTATTGCTAATAAAATTTCAACTTGATCAAAAATTTTTATTTGTTTTTCCAATTGGCATTGGCATGTCCGGATCAAAACCCGACTAATCCCCAGGGGTGCATAGGCCCTCGGCAAAGAGTTTTCCGTAAATGCACCACGGTTAATTCAAAGGTTTTCCCCCAATCTAATGACCCTAAGGAATTGTTAGCACCTAAGACATTTCGATTCCTGAACCTTGGAGGGAGTACATCCCCAAGACCCAAGGCCTTGCCACCAGGCCAACCCATTGGGATTTCTACTTGATCATAAATTAATTACTACCACCACCCACCACCATACAAAGTTCTCTGCTACTAATACGGGTGCTAATAGGTCAAATCAACTACAGGTCCTACTAACACCGCAAGGAAGCACGGGTGTGGGTACGAGTGCGGGTACGCTGATTCGGCAAAACTCAAAAAAAATACGATACGGGTACGGCTGCGGTACGCCAATATTTTTTTATTTATTTTTAAATATAATTATGATTAAAGGATCCAACCTACAAATTAAAATTAAATATCAAAACTAAAAAAAGAACTACTTATTTTCCTATAATTTAAAACCATTAAGCATTAAAAATAATATTTGTGGAATCTCTCACTTTGACATGTTATGCACTGTGAATTTGTGATCATAATTTATTTTTAAAATCTTTCTTTTTGCTCATCAATTTGCTATTTTTATAAGGTGAGACCAAATAAATAACAGGGGACCAAAGAAAGATTTAAAGTTAATTGTCAAACAATAAAGGAATTTTTTTTTTCAATTGGGGCAGGTTATCAATTGCAATTTGCATAATACATAAAATTGCATCATTCCCAACAACTACTAATCAACTAATACAATATCAATTTTTAATGTTTTGTGCATAAACTTTAAAAGTTTGTTATGATTAAAGATTTTATAAAGAAACTCTAGGAGGATCTGAAGCAAAAGCATAATGCATAATTATACACAGAACTATCCTTTATAGGCCTTGTTATTTTTTTTGGTTCAAATTGCTTTTTAAAAACATCAAAATCATTTGCAGATATGATTATACAATTTACAGTCAAAATCATTTGCAGATATGATTATACAATTTACAGAAAGAAAGTTAAAAAAAAAAAAAAAAAAGCTAAACCTCAAGGGTAGGAAAAAAAAAAAAAAAAAAAAATGGCCCTGGTGTACCCACGCCGTACCCATGGCGTACCCGAATAAACCAACCAAACGTACCGGACCTTTTTTTGCCGTACCCAGTACGCATACCGCCGTACCGGTACCTGCACCCACACCCGCACCCGGTACTTGTACGTCACTATTTTTGGAGTACCCGTGCTTCATAGGTCATCACCATGTCAAATTCAACATACCACTTTTAAGGCACTGCTAGTGCTAGCTAACTCTACCAAGCTAGGCTCAACTACAACTACCACTATTCCAGATTCTAAATGGATGTGATTCATTAACATTTTCTGAATGATTCATGCTAAAATCTGATCATCCTACTTCTTTATATCTGCATTCCCACCTATAAAATGCTTTTCTAATAGTGGGTTTATCCATTGCCAATGGTCGCTTATATTCTCCAGAAAAATCATCCTTTTTCTTCTTCCTTAACTGTACTCTAAAAACCGAATTTCAATCTTTTTGCCAGCTCTCTTACATGTGCCATGCCTGCTCAACTATGCTACCATTTCAGCAAAAAACCCTCATTTATGCAAGCCTAGTTGCTTGAGCAATTAATCATAGTCTTTTGATGTTAACGTTGAACAATCACTTCACCTCAAGGATCACCAATTAGGAACCTGTGTTTGGCATTCAGAATGATGAACTTAAACAGGAGCCCACTTAGATTCTAATCCAATATTTACCTCGTCTCTAGCAATCTTTTTTGATTAGCAAGTTAGCAACAAAGAAAATTGTATTAGAGAACAAGCCTTGTACAATCAAAAAAAGAAAAAAGACAGATCCAAACACCCCTACAACAAATCAGAAAAAACAAAATAACCTGATCCCACACTCACTCTCACTTTAAAAACTCCATGGCCAAATCATTTAGGCAAATGACAAAATCCTAGCCTTGACTGACATAAACCAAACCATTTGTGTACATTCATAAGGCTTCACTCAATTTAAGAGCTATACCACCTATTTGTAAAATTGAGGAAGCCATTCATGCACAGGCAAAAGTATGCTTATGTACGGGAAAGAAATAAACCTTCTCGTATAATCTTATTGATCAAGTCTGCGCTTCTCCAAACGTTGTTGCTTTACTTCCTGAAAACACAAACGTGAGCTAGCCGGCGGGTGTGTGCCGGAAACCCCTCCGATGCCTAAGTCAGCAAAATAGACAAGTAGACAAAAAGCTCTGTGCATCAAAGTTGTGTGTTACCTCCCCATAGGTGATATTTGTGAGCTTTTATAGGTTCCGTGTAGCACAATCCAAGTAGGACTCTTACTCTTCAATGTAGTGTTCTCCTAGGATTCATACTCCTGAAAGATAATGCTTATCCTTCAACACCCTCCTCACTGCTTAAACCAAGTGAGATGGTTTTACCATGGTCGGATTCCACTATGACCGAGGTAAGCATGGCTTATGCTAAGCCGCAGACTAGACCGAGCTAACTTTAGTTCGGCTCTTCCATTCATTGCTCTTACCCAGGTTTCTCCTAGCGCCAACCATGGTGTTATCAGACCGAGCTATCAAACAGCAAGGTTCTGGCCGAGATAACCTCGATAAGCCAAGACCGGGCTAACTTCGAGTACGGCAACCGAGCTATGTTCAAAGCTTCCTTTAGACCGGAGTAACCTCAAGATTCTTTCAGGCCGGAGTAACTTTATACTTCTCTTAGGTCAGAGTAACTTTACACCTCTCTTGGGCCGGAGTAACTTCATGGCCTCTCTTGGGCCGGAGTAACTTCATGGCCTTTTTACCTAGTCCTTCGTAACGTGGCCCGTAACGGCCCATTACCCAGCTCGGCCTAATTTATAAGTATAAATTACCCTCTCAATTGCCCCTTAATTCCATCTGCGTAGCATAAAAGGGATTACCTGTTACCAACCGAGCTAAAAAATTTCAGAATTCCAACCGAGCTAAAATCATTTAGCCATTCCAGCCGGGCTAAAAAACCATCTTAGCCTTTCCAGCCGAGCTAAATTCACACCGGATTGTACCTGTCCGGTCAAAACGTCTCTTCAATCACAGCAACTGAAACGCTTCTTATTTCATGGACACGTGGCATGCTCTTATTGACTGAAGGCAGCTGTCACGCCGCCCTCGTACCTCGCGTTTTTTGAACAATTCCCGCCTTTTCGTCCTTTCATCTACACAAAACAAACTCTTGCTATTTTGAATCACCATTCATCTCCTTCTTTCTCTCTTCTAACCTCCACTGTCCTTCAACCTTGCAATTGTGAAGCTCGTGTTTTGCTGCTGCCGTGTGCTCCCATCCTCTAGGCTGTTCGATCTTCATCAGGTAAGCATTATAAATCTGTTTTATTTTTCTTGTTTTCGTATTTGTTCAATCCACTGTATCTTGTTTTGTGTGTTTTTGCAAAACACACTCTTTCTTTCTACTTGATT